TTTGGTCGCAGTACCGCCACTTCTGCTCTGGAGTGAACACGCTTCCCCTATGAGAAAAAGGAGCAGCGCATGAACCGAACGCAACACGCGAACCGAACGGTTCGGACGGTTTTCATAAACCGTTTCATCCCTAGTCATAATAGATGGATTTTCAAAATGGTTAGAACCATTTCCAGCTAAGCATCCAGGTGCTTTAGTGGGGGTAAAGGACATTATTCCTAGATATGACATTCCTGAGAGGATATATATAGTGATAATAGAACACATTTAGTTAACTACATAGAAATAAAAGATAGTAGTACTGTTTCGCATACATTTATAGAATCATTGTGCTTACAACACCTTAAAGTGTTGGACTAAGTGAAAGAATGAATGGAAAAATAAAAAAACAGATTAAAGAAACCGGGAGATCTAATTGGATTCATCTATCACATTGTAAAATAGTCATTATGTCTGAAAGCTCGGACAGGGGAGGTGATTAAAAGTCTGATAATAGGATGAACTCAGACATTTAGAGTCCGAAAGTCAGTGAAGAAAAAGATGTAAACCAAATCAAGTAGCAGGGTTGAAATTTCAGTCAAGATGAACTGGTTAAAGTGTTCCATCTGCCGTTTGTGCTCACACTTGTGTCAATAATTCTTCTTCTTTTTTGGTATGTGCTTCCAACATGGAACAAAAAACAGATTGTCAACTGTTAATTTGACTTCCAGGTCTCTGATACCCCAAACATTTTCATCACAGTCTCCAATGGAGGTGTGGAGACATCTAATGATGGTGCACTACTGTGAGAATGTAGACAGGATCAAATACATCCATTATAATTTCCAAAGGCTGGCAATTGGAAACAAAGTGGTTTTGAAGCGGTTCGTGATCAGCTGGTTACAATCACCCTTATGGTCTTCCAGAACAGGATTGCTATTGATATGCTGTTAGCAGAGAAAGCTAAGCAGAACTAGACTGTTGGTCAGTTGCAGGAGGACATGAGGCAAGCCAAGACTGCTGCTGCTCACCTCTGAGCCCAGGTGGATGAGACGGGACGCAGAGCCTCCCGGATGGAGCAGCAGCTCTCAGAACAAGACGTAGAGGCCAGGGGAGTGGCATACCTGTGTAGGGAGTCTGAGGAGCTGTGGGTTCTGACCCATGACCAGGAGCACTAGGTGGCCCAGAGCCAGAGGGAAGCTCAGTGGAGCCAGGCTGAGCTGGCCAGCCTGGAGGCAGTGCTGGCTTCGCTGCACCTACAGCAGGGCTGCTCTTTGGCTGAAAGAGAGAAGCCGAGCGTCTTGGGGAGCACCTGAGCTGAGACCGGGAGGAGTTATCTTTCTTTGATGGCCCTAAGAGCTTCGCACTAACAAAACCTCCACACAGAGCTGCTGGACCAAGTCAACCAAGCCACAAACGTGCACAAAGAGTTAAAAAGATAGAGTGCGCTGTTGGCAGCACTGGAGAAACAGCTGCAGGAGAAAAACTCATTGTATGGCCTTTCTGTCCTGAAGAACACCAGGCTGGAAAAAGAGCTGCAGGAGAAGAAAATACCAGCAGTGTAAACTAGGCTTGTCCCGATCCGACGTATCGGATCGGGACGCCGATATTGGCAAAAAAATGCATATCGGCAAAGCATGTAAAATGCCGATCCAGACTACCGATCCAGTTTTAAAAAAAAAATCCGGTCCGTATTTTCCAGTTTCGCCGATTGAAACGATCCATTCCACTATTTTGCGCCAGTGTTCCCCTGTTTTGCATTTTTATTAAAACTTACAGTAATACTTGCACCTTTAACTGTTTACGGTTTTACTGCTCACTGTGCAATTTCAGATTGCTATTCGTAATTTTGTCCAGTTTGTGTTTATCTCTTAATAAACAGGTAAGTTTGTTGTTACCAATCATTGTGTTTTATTCAATCTCACCTAATTTAGCTGGCTAGATGTTATCAAGAGTACTAAAACCCTTTTCAACATGAGTCTTACAACTAAGGCTAAATACTTTAACTTAAACTTAAATACATGCTCGGATAGGAAGTCCAAAAACAATATCGGTATCGGATCGGAAGTGCAAAAACCTGGATCGGGACATCTCTAGTGTAA